AAATAATCCTAAATTATCACAGCATTTATTGTTGCATATCAATCTATTTTATTAATTTATAATTCTGGTTACAATAAAATGTTTATTCCATTTCTAAAACAAGCTTGTTTTCAATATGAAATACCAAAAAATACAAAAATAAATTACCTTTGAATATGTTTAATTAATACAAAATTATTCATTAAACAAATTTGAATTCGTTTAAATTATAAAATATCAAGACAAGTAATTTCTTGTAGACAACATTTTAAATTTGTTGTACAAACAATTTAAAAGTTGTTTTTGTTGTGGTTATTACAAAAACTATAATAACTTTAAAGTATTTGTCGAAAAAAATATTAAAAATAAAATAAAAATATGTTATGTTAACATTTTTTAACTTCAAAAACCCCCAATATAAATTTAATTTAAAAAATAATAAAAATTAATATTTTTAATTAAATATTTAATTAAAAAATTTAATGTGAAACTTTAAAAACTGCAATATCTTGATAAGTAATAATTTTGAAGTTATTTCGTTGACAATACAAATTTGTTATATTTGAAAGTGAAAATACAATCTAAAACATTCAATGTTTTCATTTATTTTATTTGCTTTTATTCTGGGTTCTACTAAGGCGGATTTATGTTATCAAACAGATATCGTCAACAAATGTGTAAAAGATGGGACAACTCCTTGTTCAAATGAAGTGATTATCGAATCAACAGCTCCAAATAAAATATGCGAAAATGGGTTTAAACACAATCAGCAAATAACCAGTATAAAATATCAAGGAACCGACAAATTAACCATCAAAGCGTCTGCATTTGAAGGCGCTACAAAATTGATTTCTGTATCTGCAACAGGAGGAATTGAAGATTTAGAAATATCAGCATTTAAAGAATGCACTTCTTTGACAACAATAGATTTGAGTCAAGTTATTATTATACCAGCAAGTTGTTTTGAAGGATGTACTTCACTTAAAAATGTTAAATCTATGGAAAATGTTCAATATTTTAACAACTTCGCTTTTTTCGATAGTGGTTTGGATACTTTGTCTTTTGGAAATAATGTTAAAAAGATTGGTAATTATGTGTTTAAAAACACCAAACTGGAAAGTGTTAGTCTTCCAGTGAATAATCCATCTGAAGGGTTTGGTACAAATGTTTTTGAAAATTGTGCAAAGTTAACAACTGTAGATTTCGGAGGAGTTACCATACTACCTGAATACACATTCAGTGGTTGTGTTGAGCTCACAACATTAACTAATATTGAAAAAGTGACTCACTTCAAAGAAAAATGTTTTTACTCTTCAAGAATTTCTGAAATAACTTTTGGTTCAATTGTGTCCGAATTTGGTTCAAATGCATTCTCCTTGACACAATTATCTTCAGTGACTTTGCCAAATCAAATTGAGTCTTTTGGAATTGGAGTGTTTGAAATGTGTATATCATTAACAGAAGTAAAGATCAATATGAACTTAAACATCCCAAATAGAACATTTTATGGTGACTCAAAATTAGAAAAAGTTGATGGTTTTGATAAAATTACATCTTTTGGTTCTGAGTCGTTTAGAAATGTCGGGTTGAAAGAAATTACATTCGGAAATGCAGTGACAAAATTAGCTGGAAATGCTTTTGTTCAAACAAAACTTGAAAAAATCACTTTTGGTAATGTACAAATAGATGAATTTGAACCTGGAGCTTCCAAGA